AAAGCAAACAGCCTAAAACGGAGTTTGCTCTAATTATTTTCGTTTGAGGAACGAAAACAATCTAATTAGAGCTCGGAGTTTTAGGCTGTGCTGAGGCCACCTCCTCCCCAAACTTTATTACGCGGACAGTGCTGCGATTGAACGGTGCTGCGCTTGAGAGAGCATGCAGGCGGCGCCGCGATGGTCAACGGAAAGGAAAACTGGCTAGGGCGGAAATGATATCCACAGAGCTTTATTCCTTTTTCTTTACTGATACGATTAAATTCGAGGAAGAAACAATCCTAAGATCAAATAGAGCTTTCAACATGTTAAAAGCAAACAGCCTAAAACTCCGAGCTCTAATTAGATTGTTTTCGTTCCTCAAACGAAAATTTTTGGACTTACAGAAAGTTGTGGAAATTTGCATTATAGTTCATTACATAAGGTCTATTTTTTCTAATTTCAGTTCCCTCAACTGCATCCACTGCAGTTCCGTTATTCTACTTCGCTGGATCCGATGTTTTACCCGTTGGAGTTTCAATAAAATTGTTAGCCGTTATGTTTGTATGAATTCCTTACAGAGACACGTGGAGGCACGTGGCTCTTACACGTGCACGTGCCTCTTACAGAGGCACGTAAACAACATCATAACAATGTTATAATGTTGTTACAGAGGCACGTGTTGTGATGAACGTTACAGGAGCACGTTGAGTTGCGCGTGTTGTGATGAACGTTACAGGAGCACGTTGAGTTACACGTGTTGTGATTAACGTTACAGGAGCACGTTGAGTTGCACGTGTTGTGATGAACGTTACAGGAGCACGTGGAGTTGCACGTGTTGTGATGAACGTTACAGGAGCACGTGGAGTTGCGCGTGTTGTGATGGGCGTTACAGGAGCACGTTGAGTTGCGCGTGTTGTGATGGGCGTTACAGGAGCACGTTGAGTTGCACGTGTTGTGATGGGCGTATTGCGCGTGTTGTGATGAACGTTACAGGAGCACGTTGAGTTGCGCGTGTTGTGATGAACGTTACAGGAGCACGTGGAGTTGCGCGTGTTGTGATGGGCGTTACAGGAGCACGTGGAGTTGCACGTGTTGTGATGAGCGTTACAAAGACAGCAATGTGCGCTTGGTAGGTGCTGATGTGATGTTGCAAGAGGTTAATGGAGCAGCGGCTGGTATCATGAGGAGACGGAGGACGACGAAGGCGGCGCATCAGCGTGACCGGGGACTAGGAAGTCCCGAACTCATCATAAGGTCATAAGAGTGAACTTTAAAAGTGGGCAGATGTGTGCTGTGAGAGACCTACCGGAAATGAATGTTGCCTAACGGAAGCGGGTTCTTTCTAGACTCACTCTTTTCATAGATATAAAATTAGTTAATACAGGGTTTGATTGAAGACCAGAGCGTACATTTTATTAAAAAATTTCTCCTTGTTTTTTTTTTTCGATAAGCCGATCGAAATTTCTTGCAGGTATTTGGAGATCAGAAAGCGGATTACCAAATGAAATTTTACTGGAATGCAACGTTTCGGAAATATCAATATTCATTATCAAGCAGGTGAAGAGTTATTATACAACGCTTAAAATTGAAATTTGGGCATGACATAAGTTCATACAGAAATTTCTGTATGAACTTATGTCATGCCCAAATTTATGGAAAAAAAAACAATAAGAAAATTGTTTATTTATCGAAAAAATTGGCTTATCGAAAAAAACAGAAAGTTTTTAATAAAGAGTACGCTCTGGTCTTCAATCAAACCTGTATAAATGAAGAACTTCTGCCTAACTACAGCAATAAAATTAGTTATATAGCGAGATCTGCTATATCACCACTGCGCTGCCTTTTAATTAGTTCAGCTACCATTCCGCAATACAAAATTTAATAGGAATTCGCGTTATTAATAAACTGCATTTATAGCCGTTCATAATCATTTAATATCCCGCTTCGTCTTAAGCATTTCTCAAATAGCCCATTGGGGCGCTGGTACTACTCGCATCCGAACTTATAGGTGGTCGTGACGATGGGACCAACCCTTATTTGTGAGGTGGTGTGACTGGTATCTTTGATACGTGAATTTAGTTATCACGAATATTAAAATCACCTAATCTATTGGTGCTATTGCACACATGATGTGGGTTGACATAATTTAAATTTCGTCTCTGTACCAATCTAAGTATGCTGTCTAAATAGCCAAGTTCAAATATCTATAGATTGTTTATACTTTCGGGAAATTTTTAGCATTGATGATATTCGCATAACATCTCATTACCGGGATAATAAAATTATTGTTGAGCAAAAACTACCAAATTTAATATAAAATAGGAAAATCCCGTGCACCAAAAAAAAAAAAAAAATCCCCCCAAAATCCCGGTAAAATCCCATTAGAGGGCGAGTTCAGTCAGTCTTGTTCCGATTCATTATGTTTTCCTCCATTGAGTGAGCTGGTTAGGGCACTGCATTTTGGAGACACAACCGGAGCCGAAAAAACTGCCGAATAGAACATACGTCATAAGCATTTAGAGTCTTGTAGTTTATAAGCTGGCTACATTTCCGTGAATCGTGATCTACTACACTGCATGATTTAATTATATATTTTGTGGTAGCGAATTTCTATATTTTTAACACTATGTGTAACATTTATAACAAAGAAACATGTTGCACGAGTTTGCTTATAGATTAAACACACATTTTTCATGACTCACGTTCAAATATTTCATGGTGGAGCTCTTGCATGTCGGGTAAGCCTTTGCGAAGTTGGTGTCATTGCTGCATTTGTTCTGCAAGAAAACCTTCTGCAAGGCCACATCGTCCACTGTCTTGTCAGGCTTCAGCTGTTGAGGAATGGAGGCTTTGAAAATAACTAGTAGAGAATAAAGAAAGTGAGTAGCAGATATATATATTTTTTTATTTTTTAGAGGGGGAGAGGAGGGAATTACTTGATGTTAACAAAAAAATACCATTGGGTGGCATTTTCAAAAAAAAAAAACAAATAATGAATAAATATTCCGGGGGATGGAATTTGAGAGATTTAGGATTACACACTCCCTGGATCAGGAGAATTTGAAACATTGTTACTCACCGTGCATACGAGAAAATTTATTCGGTCAAGAGTATTGCTCAATAAAATAAGTTTAATGTTTAATATCCCATTTCAATTCACTGACAATGCCCAATAAACGCTACATCTTTCAATTCAGCGATCAAAACACGGAATAAACCTCACAGCAAGAATATATAATACACAATGTATAATGTATATGGGTCCAGAACGAGCGTTTTATAGCGAAAAAGCTTCTTGCCTATGCAGATACTTAAGTAACTGCACTATGTACTGCACTTAGTGCTCAAGTAACTGCACTATGTACTGCACTCAGTGCTCAAGTAACTGCACTATGTACTGCACTCAGTGCTCAAGTAACTGCTCTATGTACTGCACTCAGTGCTCAAGTAACTGCACTATGTACTGCACTTAGTGCTCAAGTAACTGCACCCAGTGTGCCAATATACTGCAATACTCACGAGCCCAGTAGATGTCAACGCGCACTTGGCGTAATTGTACAGAAGAGGATCACATGTTGCTACGTCGTACTCAGCTGCATTGAAATTGAGGGCAATGCATTTTGGATCTGTTGGTTGGGAAATTTAGTCGAAGGTTCTGGTATTCATATCATATATACACGTACAATATTGAAAATATCATAGGCTCAATTTCAACTAAGATTTTACGAGGCAAAACTGACGAAGACAAAATATCATTAAGTTTAAACTTGAGGACGAGAAATCGACGCCAAATTAATCGACTCGTCATTTTAAGTTTCCAATCAGGGGGTAAAACGTCTCCAGCAAAACATATCTTGAAATATTTTATAGAGGGCAAATGTGTGGCTGATCGTTCAGGAAACTAAGATTTCAAGTCGAAAAAATTGAATTTAATTTGTTAACTTCAATTTGCAGCAAGCGCCCTTATAAAATAATATGCGTTTAAAAATTAATTTTTAAAGACAACACTTTCAAAGAATCCAGTGTCTCCAATCTTACAAATGTACAATGAATTTCTCATTTAATTTTCGAATATTAAAAAAGTTAGTTTTTCAATTTTTTTTAATATATAAATTTTTTTCAAAATTATTTATTCTGTCAATTGATTCATGCATTGTCTCCAACTTTACACAAGTGTGCAAAATTTCAGATCGATAGGATAAGTAGAAGTGTATTAAATTTAGATTACAAGATTTGTANAACAAATTCATGCAAAATTACTTTATTTGTGCACTCACTTGCACTAAACTTTTCACCCTCCGTATTGTACTGCAGAAAGCAACTTTCGATAGTGCTGAGATCATAAAATTTATATAACGCCTGGTTGCAAGGGGATGACATTACTCTGTAAAAAATTACAATATATTAATTTTTTTAAAATCTACAAATATCTTTGTAGAATCTACAAAGATTCTTTGTTTAAATCTACAAATATCTTTGTAGGTTTTGATATGTATTCAACGTTTGAAAATTCCAGAGACAACAATACGAATTGATATATCATAACAATGCCCTTAATACCGCTCTACACTTCAGAATTTTCTCGTTAGGACAACAGAAAATAACGATCAAGGTTCAGAAATTCAAGAGTTACAAAGTAATAAAGGAAAGCCGATTAAATATAGTTCTCGAATGGTTAGTTTGCGTTGTACTGGAATAGCAATTATAGTCTATTACTCCAAAACATGGGCCATCCTCCATTCAAATCGTTAATTTAAAAATTTAAAAGCAAGTAGAACATCATAAAAATCACGATGTATATGAAAATAATAATTATATTAACAGATCTTGTCATTATTACATAGTAAATTTTGTTTGTAAGCGAAGTACTTACGCCGCGGACGAGGCTGCGGCAGCTACGATGAGAAGCATCAGAGCTCGCGTCATCTTGTGGCTGTGGTCGTGGCAGCGGTGCGGTGGCAGGTCGTGGCAGCGGTGTGGTGGCAGGTCGTGGCAGCGGTGCGGTGGCAGGTCGTGGCAGCGGTGCGGTGGCAGGTCGTGGCAGCGGTGCGGTGGCAGGTCGTGGCAGCGGTGCGGTGGCAGGTCGTGGCAGCGGTGCGATGGCAGGCAAATACTACTTGCTCCTGACGCATTGTGGGCATGTGGTGGCCATGTTATAGGCTCTGGATATGTTGGGACAGGTGTTAAGAAATTCATCAGGGGCCGTGATTAATGATGGATTGTGCACACATGCGTGCATAAGCATCATTAATTTTGTTGATCTAAATATACAAAGAAAAATTTGAAAGGACAGAATTAATGCTCTGTATTCATATGATTTTGGAAACTTGAGTTCCTGCAAGTGACATAAAGTTTTTTTTTCGAATATTGACGCCGACATTCGGCGCGAGATAGCGATCAATCTGAAGCGCTAGCAACTAAGGCCACTAAAGCAAACAAACAATACATTCAAAATATGTTTTAAAATTAATTTTTAATAATAAAAAGTCAATATTGATATAAATTTAGTATTCGGTAAATGATATTACTTAAGAACAATATTTATGATCCTAAAAAACCTCATAAAAACCTGGTAACAGAACATTATATATAGTGGTCTGATAAATATATAAATTTATAAGTCCACTTTACGGACTTTAATTATTTTTTTTTCTAAATTGCGAAAAAATATGTAAAAAAAACTGACCTGGCTGGACCTAACCCCAGTAAAACGATCACTAGTAACGTAAAGAAGGGTTTTAGACACACCTAACCTTAACTCTAACCCTAACCTAACGAAGTTGCGTTTTTTTATGTTCGGTAAAGGTAATGTAGTTCATTTATTTTTGCGTCCGGTTCTTAAGAACAAACTAATTGCAAAGTACATAACCGGACTCGATTTCGTCAGGATTTCTAACCCCTGTCCGGCTATTGACGGACTTTTGTATATATATATATATTGGAGAATAATATTGAAGAATAATAACATGTAACATTAAGGGTGTCATTAAATAATTATTGTTACCAACATAATTGGTAACAACACCGAACATGGGATAGACTATCGCCACTTATTTGATTCATTCTGGAGATAAAAGTAGAGCAAAAGGACTGGGGATATAAGCAGAGCAAATGGACTGGGGAAATAAGTGGAGCAAAAGTACTGGGGATGTAAGTGGAGCAAAAGGGCTGGGGATATAAGCAGAGCAAATGGACTGGAGATATAAGTGGAGCAAAAGGAGTGGGGATATAAGCAGAGCAAAAGGACTGGGGATATAAGCAGAGCAAATGGACTGGGGATATAAGTGGAGCAAAAGGACTGGGGATATAAGCAGAGCAAAACGACTGGGGATATAAGCGGAGCAAATGTAAATGTAAAATGCTCTTTGAGTAATGAACTGAGCTCGTTGCGCAAAGAGCTAGATATCTAGAAGCGATTTCAAATCTACCGTCCGTAAGGCCAGTCTAGTCAAGAAAAGTACAAGAATCGGCGACAGGCCTATCCAGGCCTATTCTTTAATGCCGAAGATACTATACTATACTATACTATACTATACTATACTATACTATACTATACTATACTATACTATACTATACTATACTATACTAAATGGACTGGGGATATAAGCGGAGCAAAAGGACTGGGGATATAAGAGGAGCAAATGGACTGGGGATATAAACAGAGCAAATGGACTTGGGATATAAGTGGAGCAAAAGGACTGGGGATATAAGCAGAGCAAGAGAACTGTTGTGTTCAGTTGTGCCCTCGCAGAGCAAAGTTCATATTTTGAGCCTCAAGCGTGTTGGTCCAGGTGCAGCAAGCTAACAAAATGTCAGGAGACGATTAATCGTGAGGTTGATAAATGATGTTAATCACCTTACTTATCAAATGACAGCAGTTGATCAGTCATGAGGTCTGATACATGATGTTAATGATGTGCGCATCTGAAAAGATCAGTTGAAAAGTTTTCTAAATGAAGAGGTGCTTTGTTTCGCAATGAGGTTAAAAAAACATCAGAAGGTGGTAGCTGGTATCAAGAGAAGTTGGTTTTGTGAAAAACTTGGTAAAATATAACGTTATTTAATTAAAATCAACATCACGATCAACTCGACTTATTTATTTGGAAGATATGAAAAATCTAAACATACGAGTATTATGCGAATTCTCATGATTTTACAATTAAAATTGGAATTTTGTCGTATGCCTGGCCAATTTTACTTGCGTGACTTGGCTCCAATAAATTCGTGCGCGAAAACTCGCAATAGTTAACAAGGTTAAATCTGTAAGGGAGTCTCGACATTTACGCCTCTCGAATCTCATCTGAAAGCAGATATCAAAGAGTCACCAGCCTGTAAGAAAAGCATCGAATATACTTCACCCTCGTGGAATTCATCTATGATGTAAATATTTGAATCCGATCGTTTGTGCCTTACATTGTTTAGCAATGTTGGTCGGAGTGACATAGAAATAAATTTGAGCGCTTTGATGAATCGCCTGATACGTTGGTCAGATACGGCGGAGCTTCTGCGTCTGCCAGATATGTTGGAGGTTGAAAGATTGGTCATACATGTTGAAGGTTGTGCGTGTGATCAGATACGTTGAACGTTCTGCGTGTGCTCAAATGCGTTGAAGGTTGAATATTTGGTCAGATACGTTGAAGGTTGACGTGTGGTCAGAAACGTTGAAGGTTGACGTGTGGTCAGATACGTTGATGCGGTGAAGGTTGGCGTGTGGTCTGATACGTTGAAGGTAGTGAGTGGGGTCAGATGCGTTGAAGGTTGGCGTGTGGTCAGATACGTTGATGCGGTGAAGGTTGGCGTGTGGTCAGATTAACGTTGAGGATTGGCGTATGGTCAGATATGTTGATGCGGTGAAGGTTGGCGTTTGGTCAGAAACGTTGAAGGTTGACGTGTGGTCAGATACGTTTATGGTTGTAAGCGGACTTTCCGTGTCTTCAGGTAAAGTGTTTATCGATAATCAAACGATAAATTATTCACTTATTGTTCATTTTACTTTTAATATAGTCTTCTTCATAATCTGATATCTAATGTAAGTCCATTAAATATCTATCGTGGAAATAAGTGATCGATATATAATATAGTCAATCTTTCTGATAAAAATTTCATGAATGATTGAATTTAAAGTATTTTCTGCCATTTTCGAATGGGGTATTTACCTATTTTGGAACTGTGGGTGTGATATCTGGCACGGCATAATTTTTTTTTTTTTTTTGCTGTCTTCAAATCCGCACTTTCCGTCAATTTATTGAGTAAAGTTGGCTCACTTATCAACGCACGATAATTGTAACGAGGGGATGTGTTTTAGGCTTGTAGCTGCATATTGATATCTCGTCTCGACTCAGAGACTCTGTGTGTTGTAAGGTTCCATTGAAATTTTTTTCGAAAATGGCAGAAGTAGGTGAGATTCACCCAGCATCTATCCGAAGTCTGGACGATTTCCTGCTCGAATCAGCAAGGTTTCAAATACCAAATTTTAAAGATATTGAAAAATGGAACAATCGTGTGTATCAAAATTTGCTCTACTATCAGACAAATTACTTCTTGACTTATTTAGTTGTGTTTCTACTAGTGAGGTGAGCTAATTTTAAAATATATATTATTATTTTGGTCAACTAAGGCCTAATGCTCTCCTATAGCCTATAGGATTAGGCTATTAGCCGATTAGGAAAATGTCTATCCTATTATTATAGGACTCAAAACACAAAACTGAACCTAAAGAGTAGCCTATATAAAAAAAGTCAACTTTGTGCTTTGATACTATCCTGAGTATTCAAGAATCAAGACTACTGACAAACCCGATTGGAAATTTAAGGTAATGATCAGGAGTACTGCTTTTCAAAATTCTCACGGAATTACACCGAACCGCCATTGCACGGATTTTGTAAGAGATCTTGAACATTCTCACGGAATTGCTATGTTTTCACGATTCATCATTTAAACAACTAACATCTCAATTTCGTCTAAAAAAAGATTACTCATTACGTTGCCTTAATCCTTGAGCGTAGAAAATAAACACCTAAATTGTTTTAGTGTACTGAATTACTGCATCCATCGCACCTTCTTCAACTCCACAGTGCACGCTATCAGTTCCGTCTCCTACGATGCGGATGTGAGCAGCTACTTTATATAATGCAGTAGCTACTCTAAAAATAATAGAACCGATGTTTTTTAAGAAACAAAGGTACACATTTTAATCATACAATAATAAATACGAAAATAAATACGAAAACTTCAAATTAGTTGAACATACTTGTGATGTATTATTACAGTATTTTTTACAGCATATAGCATGAGTAACCATTTATGGGTTGAAAAATAAGGATTACATATTAATATAGGCAAAAAGTATCACAATGCATTTGGTTATGTTGAAAACGCAACACAATAGAATGT